GTACCTGGCAGCTGTTCAAAGGGTTGTAGTCTTTCCAGGTAGTCTTTCTGGTTTGTGTGCCTTGGGTTCCTGGGTCCTCCTGACTTCCCATCGAGCCCTGCTGTACTGTTGGGCTTTCCTTCTCCCTTCACATTTGTTGAGAGTTCCTCTCAATAAATGTCTCTTTTTTCCCATTTTCACCCCCAATTTCAAGCAATTGACTCAAGGAAGTTCTTCAAAGTTGCCAAATCAAATGATGCCAGAGACGATGACTGGAAGATCTTCAGTCTGAGCTGCATCAAATCTGTTTCATAGCTCCTATGAAACCAGATTGAACCAGCTCATCTACTCTTCGTCAAAGATTCTCTATATTGCTTTTCTAAAGAATTTCTCCTGTGTTTTTAGAGGCACTAAAAATTACTCAGACACACAACAAAGTTAGAGTTATTTTGTTTGTTTTTGCTTTTAACTCATTCACCTTACATCTCGGTCACTGCCCTCCTCCTGATCACCCCCTCCCACATTCCTTCTCCCATGCCCCATCTCCTTCTCCTCTGAGCAGGTAGGGGCCCCTGAATATCTGCCCACCTTGCCACTTCAACTGTATGTGAGGCTAAGTACTTCCTCCCTATGGAGGCCAGACAGGGCAGCCCAGCTAGGAGAATATATCCCACGTACAGGCAACAGCTTTTGAGATAACCGCCCTCCCCTCCAGCTTTTCAGGACCCACATGAAGTTCAAGCTCCACATCTGCTACATATGAACAAGGAGTCCTAGGTCCAGCCAGTGTATGTTCTTTGGTTGGTGCTTCAGTCTCTGAGAGCCACAATAGTCCAGGTCAGTTGACTCTGTTGGTCTTCCTGTGGAGTTCCTATCCCCTTCAGAGCCTGCAATCCTATTCTTCTATAAGTCCCCAAGATCCATCCACTGTTTGGCTGTGGGTGTCTGCATCTATCTGAGTCAGCTTCTGGGTGGAGCCTCTCAGAGGAGAGTCATGCTAGGCTCTTGTCTGCAAGCATAACAGAGTATCATTAACAGTGTCAAATGGTGCTCATTTAACTGGATGTCTACATGTAGAAGAATAAAAATAGACCCATATTTATCACCCTGTACATAATTCAAGTCCAAGTAGACCAAAGACCTCAACATCAAACTGGATTCACTAAATCTCATAGAAGAGAAAGTGGGAAATACCCTTGAACACATTGGTACAGGAGACAATTTCCTGAACAGAACACCAACAGCCCAGGCTCTAAGATCAACAATTAATAAATGGGACCTCATGAAACTGCAAAGCTTCTGTAAGGCTAAGAACATTGTCAATAGGACAAATTGCCAGCCTACAGATTGGGAAAGGATCTTCACCAACCCTACATCTGAAAGAGGGCTCATATCAAAAATTACAAAGAATTCAAGAAGTTAGACACTAACAACCTAAATATTGAAAAATGGGGTATTGAACTAAACATAGAATTATCAACAGAGGAATTTCAAATGGCTGAGAAGCACTTAAAGAAATGTTCAAAGTCCTTGGTCATTGCTGCTGAATAGCGTTAATTAATTAGTTAATTAATTAACTTATTTATTCATATATTTATCCATTCATTCTTTCATATTTGTCAAATATGTTTTGCCCTACCATAGAGGAGGCATTGTTTTGAGCAGCAAATAAGACAGAGTTTTCAGACGCTTAATTGTGGAGGGGTCAGGGATGTAGACAGTACTGACACAAGATCAGGTTGTGACTTTTTACCCATGTCTCCTCTGTCTCTTTCTTTCTATCTTAAATGAGAAAGAGAGGGTTTCATGAGGCAGCTGAAAGGTGTCTTAAGTGCCTTCTCGTACCCTTTGCCACAGAGATCAGCTAAGACAAGCTATAGGAAGCTGGGGGAAACCCAACTACAGAACTGCAGGGCAGTGTGCACTGCTAATACACAGGAAGGCTATTTAAGAACATCTGTACTGCACAGTTTATAAACTATGCATTTTACTTAATTACATCTATACATCATTATGAAATAGGTTTACTTGTAGTATTTCTAAAATATTTTCCATACAAGACTGTATGGAAAATATGTGATGATGCCTCCATGTTTTTCCCCTGTGCTTGTCAGACTTCTGAATCCAGGCCCTTCTCCAAGTGAAGCTGCTGTTGTATAGAACGTTACCTCTCTGAAGAGTCATGCAGCTTGTGTCGTGCTTCCTTCCCATGAATTTGGTGTACCGTGCCATCCAGTCTTTCCAGTATCACCCTTCACTTGTTACTGATGCTGCTCACTGGAATTGATGTTGCTCACTGGATTCGAACCTTTGTACCAGCCCTGCTTTTGAAGTAGTAGGTGATCATCTGGATTTGAACACATGTGATATTTAATATCTTCGACACTGATGGATCTTATTTTGAAGCAATTAATTTACTCCCAGTTCTAGTTCAAGGAGAAAGGGAAAATACTTGAGTTCAGGGTATTACATGTGGAGAAGAAGCAAAGCATGAGCTTGGGGTTTCTGTGGAGTTACTGATTTTATGGAACAAAGAAGAAGTTAGGAGGAAGGGAAAGAGTTGAAATGTGTTAACTAAATTCTGGCTGGGACTATAGCTCATTGCAGAGTATTGCCTATCTGACTTCAATCCTTACCATCTAAAATGCAGAACAATATGTATCTAAGAATTTCATTTTCTCAAGAACCCAAGCTTTGAGTACTTACCATGTGTGTTATTTTGTGTCTGGTTTACCTCACTAAGGATGATATTTTCTAGTTCCATCCATTTGCCCGTGAATTTCATGAAGTCATTGTTTTTAATAGCTGAGTAGTACGCCATTGTTTCTGTAGCCATTCTTTTGTTGAGGAACATCTGGGTTGTTTCCAGCTTCTGGCTATTATAAATAAGGCTGCTATGAACATAGTGGAGCATGTGTCCTTGTTGTATGTTGGAGCATCTTTTGAGTATATGCCCAGGAGTGGTATAGCTGAGTCTTCATGTATAGCTGTTTCCAATTTTCTGAGGAACTGTCAGACTGATTTCCACAGTGGTTTTACCAGCTTGCAATCCCACTAGCAGTGGAGGAGTGTTCCTCTTTCTCCACATGGCCTTATCCAACATCAGTGGGAGGGGAGGGAGGCTTGATGTCCCACTGTAGGGGGATGCTAGAGGGGTGAGGAGGGAGTGGGTAAATGGGTGGAGGAGCACCCTCATAGAGGCAAAGGGGAGGGCGGGAGGGGGATGGGATGGGTTTGTGGAGGGGTAACCGGGGAGGAGGATATCATTTGAAATGAAAATGAATAAGATGTTTAATAAAAGAAGGACCTGAGCTTTTATTATGTCACATTTCAGAAACCAAACCAGTTCTTTCACCATAAATGAGCTCTCTCAGTAATACTACAACCTGTGTAAAGCCAACGTCTCTAACAATTCAACGAGTAGACAAAAAGACAAATTACATCTATTTTCCCAATAGCTTGGGAGCCAAAGAATACATACAGAATTGTTGCAAATGAAATTTAAAGTCATCTTGTGTGAATAGGACATTAATCAGTTAGTGGGGGGTCCCTCTGCCCTCCTTATCTCAGACACACTCTCTGTTTTCTCTCCCTACCTGCCTAGGAGGGAGAGCCAGCTTGACAACACAGTGCTGTGTCTGGAGAACTTTTCCAAGCTGCTGACTTGGACAGATTTGAGTCTATTCTTTCTCCTGTAGCTTTCAGAAGACCGACAATTCTTCTAAGGAAAACAACCCTTATCTTTCTATGTGACATGGGGCATTATTATTATCTTTGTTCCTTTTTAGAGGTACATATTGAAGCATATAGATTAAAATGGCATGAGATTTGTTTCAAAATAGCTAGGGTCATGGAAAGGCAGTTATAACACATCATACTTGTGGCATGCTGTTAAGTATTTTTCTGGCATTGTTTTGTTTGAAACTTTCTCTTAGCCCAGGAGTTTGGTATTGTCATCTTGATATTTCAGATGAGGAAACTGAGGCATGGGTAAGCTGGGAGAACTTGGTTAGAGTTCTGTAGGAACCAGTCACAGAATGGGGGGGTGGGGAAGCAGGTAAAATCAGATCTGGCTGGCCTCACAGCATGAAGGCAATAATAAGATTGTTGTTCTTTTAGTCTTCATTTGGAGTATTCATCCCATAAAGGATGAAAGATGAAAAAGAATGGTCATCCATCTCTAATTCATCACTCAAACAAATGCCTGTTGGGTGTAGGCACTCTCTAGCCATGAAGAAGCAAAAATAAACTAGACATTGGTCCCAGCAACAGTAGAGCCACCATACTTTTCTGTAGTCAGGTGCTGGAAGCAGAAAGCCATGTGCATATGCAGTATTCTCCCTCAGAGTGGTGTTTAAAACTACAACTCTGGGTGACTCTGCTGGTGTGCATCCTAAGTGGGCCAGGTGGGGTGGTGACTCTGCTGGTGTGCATCCTGAGTGGGCCAGATGGGGTTTGCTCTTTGTTTGTGCTCCAGAACACCCTCATTCTGTCATCACTGTTGACAGACATCTGTTGTCTCCACACGTTTGTTGTCTCCAGACCTGTGGAGACCCACATGCTATAGTGGCAGAACAGATATTCACTGCACTTTCTTACACTAGACACTCATAACTTTCCCCAGGGAATGCCTATGACCTTCATGCATTTCTGCATTCTGGAAAACTGGTTTGTAGTTAAAATTGCTTTCAGAATACAATTCAGCAAAGAAGGAACTTTGCTACTCAAATAC